TTTCCTTCCCACCACCATATATACAATATATAATATATATCTTTCCTACCACCACCACCTCGTCCTATTTTGAACAAAGTTCGCGGCCACCAATCTCTTCTCCTCCTCTACCACCACCTCCTCCACCTCACTCCTACTCCATCCCACCCCACTTCCACACCTATCCCCACCCCACCTCCAACCACTATCCCACACCCCCACCTCACCCCTACCCCAACCCAACCACCACTTACCCATCCCTCCTCGCTCCTCCTCCTCCTCCTCCTCCTCTCCTCCTCCTCTCCTCCTCCTCCTCTCCTCCTCCTCCTCTCCTACTCCTCCATACTACCGCTAGCTACGGCCGCGACCATTCCTCTCCGGGTTCGCCAATACGTGGAGAAATGCGGCAGGCAGGAAGGCGTACCAGAGAGATGGTGTGTTGGTGATTCGTTGCATCATTCGTGGAAATGAAGCACGGGCCGTTTCTCATCCCAGTGGACTAGAACTTTGTCTTCGCCGACTTTTTTTTCCCTGCAGGAGAAAGGAGGAGGAGAAAGGTCAGGGAGACGAGGAAGGAAGAGGAACAAAGAGGAGTGGCGAAGAGTTTTGTCTCGTGTGGAAATGAGTGGAGATTTCTTATTTCCGAAGAGAGGAAGACTGATAGAATTGAGTTAGATATGTCGAGAAGTAGAAAGAGGAGGAGACGAGAGGAGAGGGAGGAGAGAGAGAGAGAGAGAGAGAGAGAGAGAGAGAGAGAGAGAGAGAGAGAGAGAGAGAGAGAGAGAGGAGAAGGAGAGAAAGAGAAAGAGAAAGAGAGAGAGAGAGAGAGAGAGAGAGAGAGAGAGGAGGGAGACAGACAGACAGAGAGAGAGACAGAGACAGAGAGAAGAGACAGAAAGAGAGAGGAGAGAGGGGGGGATAAGAAGAGAGAGAGGGGGAGAGAGAGAGAAGGAGAGAAACAGAGACAGAGAAAGAATCCAAGAAACCATACATAACAACATGCAAACGAAAGGGCCGTTATGGTCTGTAGGCAGATTAGCACAGATACACAGGACAGACACGCAAGCAGACAGACATGCAGAGAGAAAAAAAGTGAAAATAAGAGAAAGATGTGAAAGAGTAAAAAAAAAATGCGCGCAGTATAAAGGAAGGCAGAAGTGACCCATTACGAAGTTACAGAACGTTTCAAAGAATTTAACGAAGCGTGAAATGTTTTTAGGAAAATATGAACTGAGAACAGAAACCGAAAGTGGCAAATATAGGCGATTCGGTTTCTCTTTTTCTGAAAAAAATATTCCAGAACAAGATGCGTTATTTCTATTTAAAGATTGTGGAGTTAGATTCGCATCGAAATAGAGAAGGGAACAAAATCAAAATGATAAAAGACGGTGCATTTAGATTCACTTCTGAAAAAGGAATATGAAACGGAATTCTCAGATTTTTAAAATATTTTTTTCACTTTTTTACCATCGACCACATGCGTTTTCCTTTTACATGTTCACTTCGTAGTACTGCAATAGTTACATTTAAAAAAAAAATCCAATCGGCACGTGATTTCCTCATACATAAACATGTTTCCAAACTACGGCGATGAAATACAACGAACCACGATGATGAAATTTTTATCCCTAAAACTTTTCCTTTTTTTAGACAGCTTAAGAATAAAAAAGAAAGAATGATAAAAACAGGGGGGGGGGGATTGAGTCTATATAATCAAATCTGACGAAAGGCCTGATTATTGACACCCCAAGTCACGTGAGAACATGGCATGAGCGGGTATTCACGTCAGATACGAAGGTCGTTGGCCGTGTTGAAACGACCTCGGGCGCCTAACAAGCACAGAGAGGAGCACGACCCAGACCTTCAGTGGCAGCTGGGATCGTCCGCTTGATCCTGCTCGAGGTGGAGGTAGAAAGAATGAAGGAGGAGGTGGGGGAAGTGGAGGTGGAAAGGGTGAAGGAGGTGGTGGAGGAAGTGGAGGTGGAAAGGGTGAAGATGATGGAGGAGGTGGTGGAGGAAATGGAGGTGGAAACGGTGATGGAGGAAGAGGAGGTGGAACGGGAAGGAGGAAGGAGGAGGAGGAAGTGGTGGAAGGAAGGTGAAGGGGAACGAAGGAGGTGGAGTGGAAGGAGCTGATGGTGATGGTGGAGACGGAAAAATAGAGGACACTGATTATTACTGTGATACTGAAAGTTAGGAAAAGGGAGAAGGGGAAGAAAAAGAACAAGAATAGAAGAAGAGTGAGAAGGAGAAGAAGTAAGAGGAAGAGGAGGAGAAGAAATGAGAAGAAAAAGAAAGAAGTGGAGGAACAAGATATAAAGGAAAGAAAGAAAATGGGATAAGAGGAAAGGGAAGAAGGTGAGGAGGGGGAGGGTATCTGCTACCATGTCGTTCGTGCCATGAAGCTTTGATCCCTTCGGTCCATAGCAGTAATCCCGACCCCATCGTAATGTTGTTTGCTGAAGGCTGGCGAGGTCTTCTTCCGCTGTCATGGGAGAGGGAGAGAAAATGAAAATGAAAACAGAAAGGAAGTAAAGTGGGAGAGAGAGTGAGAGGAAGGGAGGGGGAGGGGGAGTTTCTGGGCGAACAATAAAGAAGAGGAAGACGAAGAAAAAAAAAGAAACTAATAGAAAAGGGGAAGAGACGGGAAAAAAGTCAAGAGAAGAAACTGTAGTACAGAAATTGAAGAGCGGAAGAGGAGAAAGAAAGAAGATATCTTATTATTTCCTCGAGCATCAAGTGTTCTTCCTCGAGAGCGCCTTTCTGCTGCAATGCCAGTTCTCGGTAAGCCGCGGAAGAGCTGGGCGTCGGTGCAAAATATTTTCTTTTCCTGATAACGATCACTTTCTCGAAATCCGAAGACGGTAACTAGCCAGGTGTTGTTTGTCTGTTAGCGTGAAATTCAAATATTTAAGATGCATAGATAGGGAAGTGGGTGAATTTATCTAGTGATTGAATGTATTTCAAAGAAGTAGGTACGGAGAGATGAGAGAGATAATGGAGATAAATAAACCAACCCACCAGAAAAGGAGAAAAAAAGTGACGTACCAACCGACAGCTTTATAGACACACTACCTCACAGCGACCGTAAGCCTGAGACAGACAGACCGTCAAAGGCAGAACAAGACAGACTCACGGACAAACAGACAACCAGAAACGCAGACCAATTTATTAGCCCTCAATTGAACCGTTAAGCTGCTTGACATGCAGATAATTGGTAGTCCAGAAATAACTAGCGATTGGTTTTACGTCCGAGGCCCTTAGGCGATCCTCAAGTGATGAGCCACTTCATGGGCCTTCGCTGCTGAAATGGATTCATATTTGCGTGAATACTGACGAAGGATTTGGGTGTGTGGGCTTCGTTAGTGTACCTTGTATTACCTGATACACCTGCTGTTGGCGGTTTAACATCTCAGACACATATCGTTTGGATTTCTACGGGAAACTAAACCTGCCGCTGTTCTGTCCCAAACTTAAATGAACGATACATGAATAGTAAACAAACCTAAGGAAAGAGAAATCGTCATTATAAAACAAAGACACAGAGGGGTTGTATCCCTGTTCTTGCATTTAGCATTTGTAAAGGATGTTACAAGAGCATGTGTGGTGCAAGATTCTCCTCTTTTGCAGTACGTGGGACGATGTGAGATGTTTCTGAGAAGTGATGTTGCGTGTGACTACGGCACTCACTGATTATATTTTATTATCGAGTGTCGCCATTACAATTAATGCAGTATTCATTATCTTGATGTGTGTAATTAATTAGTTGCTCGACATTGGATACCCTTCCGGGTTGCATTATATTTCATATATATTCATCATTAGGCAGGACACTAGCTCATTTTACTATTGTAAATTAATATCAATAACATAGCTGTTGCATATAAACACACGGCCTTAACCAATATTTTAACATACACAGACGTGTGTGTATTTACGCGCGCACGCACACACACACACACAAACACACACACACACACACACACACACACACACACACACACACACACACACACACACACACACACACACACACACACACACACACACAACACACACACACACACACGTACAGTCGTATAGTTGTACATATAGATGTACTGTACATATATATATATATATATATATATATATATATATATATATATATATATATATATATATATATACAATTACGCATACATATACCTATACATATCCATAGACACACATGCACATTTGTGTGTGAATGCATGTGTGACGCATACAAATCGGAGTCGCAGAGGCCGTGCGGCAGAGCTTGCGTCTTGCGTCCACGCCCAGAATATTCCGTCAGACCGATCGAATGAGGGGGGGGTCCCTCCCGTCACGAGGCAACTGTCTTTATTCTCTTTCCTCTTTTGTACTAGAATTTCAGGGCAGATCCTTCTCTCCTTTCAGCTCTCCATCTATATATAGGGCTGTCTATTTTTCTCCTTTCCAGGCAGTCCCTTTCTCTTCCCTTTTTATGCTTCCTTCCCCTCTCTTCTCTTTGATCATCTGTCCTCGTCGCTCCCCTCTCTCCTCGTGTAGGGTTGAGGCCGGGCTGAGGTTGGACGCTGTTTGACCTGAAGGATAGAGTTACTGCCCCATCTGTGAGGTCACGTGGACAGCCGCCTGCCTCCCCCCCACCAACCCACAACTCAATACGGCAACTTTCCCGTACATGCATTTTGCTCTTTTTTTCTCCCTCTCTTTGTCCCCCCTTTTTATATAGAATTTCGCTCAGAGGGTTTCTCAAGCTCGAGTTCAAAGTTCAGGAATATTTCCCCCGTGAACATGAGACGCGAGAGACGCTCGAATAGTTCAAGTGATCTGGATTTTTATTTTTTTTCAAACTTTTCTTTAATTAACTGCAAAGGCCCCCCGGTTGTCGGAAAAGTCAATGAGCGACTCGACTTACATTTGCCTTGCTCTCGTTTGCTTCTCAGGCCGAACGAAATGAAAATCGCGTTTCTCTTTGCTCTGCGCTTTGCCTAACGTGACCTCTGTCTGTGTTCCAGGTGCGTCGGGTGTGGGAGCGGGTCACGTGGTAAGTAGGGATGCAGCGATGCCGAAAGTGCCAGGGCGGCGTCGGTCCCTGGCAACCGAGAGGGAAGTCGGGCCACCTGAGCGAGAGAGCGGAGCGCGGGAGGGAAGGTGATGCCTACCTGTTCCGACGCACGCGACGGAGGACGTGGCTGAGAAGTTTGGCTCCGCACGTGGGCTCGATCAAGGGTTTGGAGTATAGATGGCATGAGAGAGAGAGAGAGAGAGAGAGAGAGAGAGAGAGAGAGAGAGAGAGAGAGAGAGAGAGAGAGAGAGAGAGAGAGAGAGAGAGAGAGAGAGAGAGAGAGAGGAGAGAGAGAGAGAGGAGAGAGAGAGAGTGAAAGAGAGAGAGAGAGTAGAGAAGAGAGAGAGAGAGAGAGAGAGTGAAAGAGAGAGAGAGAGAGAGAGAGAGAGAGAGAGAGAGAGAGAGAGACAGACAGACAGAGACAGAGAAGAGAGAGAAAGAATGAAAGAGAGAGAGAGAGAGAGAGAGAGAGAGAGTGAGAGAGAGAGAGAGAGAGAGAGAGAGAGAGAGAGAGAAGAGAGAGAGAGAGAGAGAGAGAGTGAAAGAGAGAGAGTGAGAGAGAGAGTGAAAGAGAGAGAAGAGAGAGAGAGAGAGAGAGAGAGAGAGAGAGAGAGAGAGAGAGAGAGAGAGAGAGAGAGAGAGAGAGAGAGAGAGAGAGAGAGAGAGAGAGAGAGAGTGAGAGAGAGAGAGAGAGAGAGTGAAAGAGAGAGAGAGAGAGTGAAGAGAGAGAGAGAGAGTGAAAGAGAGAGAGAGAGAAGAGAGAGAGAGAGAGAGAGTGAAAGAGAGAGAGAGAGAGTGAAAGAGAGAGAGAGAGAGTGAAAGAGAGATAGAGAAAGTGAAAGAGAGAAGAGAGAGAGAGAGAGAGAGAGAGAGAGAGAGAGAGAGAGAGAGAGAGAGAGAGAGAGAGAGAGAGAGAGAGAGAGAGAGAGAGAGAGAGAGAGAGAGAGAGAGAGAGAGAGAGAGTGAGAGAGAGAGAGAGAGAGAGAGAGAAGAGAAGAGAGAGAGAGAGAGAGAGAGAGAGAGAGAGGAGAGAGAGAGAGAGGAGAGAGAGAAGAGAGAGGAGGAGAGAGTGAAGAGAGAGAGAGAGAGAGTGAGAGAGAGAGAGAGAGAGAGAGAGAGAGTGAGAAGAGAGAGAGTGAAGAGAGAGAAAGGAGAGAGAGTGAAGAGAGAGAGAGAGAGAGAGTGAAGAGAGAAGAGAGAGAGAGAGAGTGAAAGAGTGAGAGAGAGAGAGTGAAAGAGTGAGAGAGAGAGTGAGAAAGTGAAAGAGAGAGAGAGAGAGTGAAAGAGTGAGAAGAGAGAGTGAGAGAGAGAGTGAGAAGAGTGAGAGTGAAAGAGTGAGAGAGAGAGAGTGAAGAGAGAGAGAGAGAGAGAGTGAGAGAGAGAGAGTGAGAGAGAGAGGAAAGTGAAAGAGAGAGAGAGAGAGAGTGAAAGAGGAGAGAGTGGAGAGAGAGAGAGTGAAAAGAGGTGAGATAGAGTGAAGAGAGTGAGAGAGGAGAGTGAAAAGAGGAGAAGGAGGAGAGTAAAGAGAGAGAAGAAAGAGAGTGGAGAGAGAGAGAGTGAGAAGAGAAGAGGAGAGTGAGAAAGAGAGAGAGAGAGAGAAAGAGTGGAGAGAAGAGAGAGAAGGAGAGAGAGAGAGTGAGAGTGAGAGAGAGAGAGTGAAAAGTGAGAGAGTGCAGAGAGAGAGAGAGAGAGTGAAGAGAGTGAGGAGAGAGGGAGAGTTGAAGAGAGAGAGAGAGGAGAGAGTGAAGAGTGAGAGAGAGAGAGAGAAAGAGTGAGAGAGAGAAGTGAAAGAGTGAGAGAGAGAGAGTGAGAGAGAGTGAGAAGAGTGAGAGAGAGGAGAGAGAGAGAGAGAGAGAGGAAGAGAAAAGGAGAGAGAGGAAGGGAGAGAGTGAGGAGGGGGGAGGGAGGGGGGAGAGGGGTGAGGGAGGGGAGAGAGGGGGGAGGGGGGGAGAGAGAGGAGGAGCGAGAGAGGGAGAGAGAGAGAGAGAGAGGAGAGAAGAAAGAGGGAGAGAGAGAGAGAGAGAGGAAGAGAGGAGAGAAGAGAGAGAGAGAGAATAGAGAGAAAAGAAAGAAGAGAAGAAAGAAAAGGACAAGAGGAAAAGAGAAGAGAGAGAGAGAGAATGAAAGAAAGAAAGAAAGAAAGAGAGAGAGAGAGAATTCAATCCATTTCGAAATATATTTCTTGTCACTTGACTATGAGAAAGCGGCGAATGATAGCCGGTTCAGCGCTCCAGGAGGAATCAACGTTGTGGTTCGCATTCCTTGCAGTGAGGGCGAAACCCTTGCTTTGATGTGTCTTTGAGACTTTTGCATGCACGTCCTCTGGTCGCACAGGTGCGAATACATGAAATACACGCACCCCCCCCGCCCCACACACACACAACGCACCCGCAACGAAATGTATGTACGTTTTCCTGCAATATATATTTTTTCTCCTTTTTTTCACTCTACCAAAATAAAATCGCAGAGCAAGTATGGAATTTTACACAAACACGTTTTTTAGAAATTTTTTTATTTTATTTTTTTATATTTATTTATTTTTTATTATTATTATTATTTTTTTTTTTTTTTTTTTTTTTGCCGGAGGAGGAGCTCAACCAAGAAAAAAAAGGAACGAACAAAAAGACACAAACCTCGAAAAACACGAGAAATCCCCCCCCCCCCCAAAAAAAAAACAGAAGGAAAATAACGTCTAAATATTTGAGAATCCGCTGTGGGGTATCACATCCGTTAACGCCCTGGACGGAGTAGGCCTAAAGAGGTCGAGGGCGTCGAGACATCGCGTCCTGTGTCATTTTCATTCCGGCTCTTGTTGGGGTTATTAACTTAGAGCATGATGTTACTTGCGTCTCCTGAGGGCGAAAAAGGAGCGGGAAGGGACAGGGAGACGGGAGGGAGAGGGAGTGGGAGACGGGGAGAGAGAGGGAGTGGAGTGAGGTGAGAGACGGGAGGGAGAGAGAGGGAGTGGAGAGGGTGGGAGACGGGAGGGGAGACAGGGAGGGAGAGGGAGAGAACGGGGAAGTTGAGAAAGAGAAAAAGGTAAATGAAAAGTGGGAGGAGAGAGAAAGGGAAAGAGAGACGGGTAGGGTATGGGAGAGGGGGAGGAGGTAAGGGGAAAAAGATAGAGAGAGAGAGAGAGAGAGAGAGAGAGAGAGAGAGAGAGAGAGAAGAGAGAGAGAGAGAGAGAAATGAAAGGAAAAGAAAATAATCAAGGAAGGGAGGGAGGGTGAGAGGAAAAGAGAGAGAGAAAGATGAAGTGAAAGAAAGAAAGCCACAGCCATAAATACAGAGACAGAGATTGAAAAAGAAGAAAATATTAAAGTGCGTGAGTACGACAGGAACAGAAAACGGACGAGAGAGCCACAAGCCGAAACCCCGGCTTCCTCGGCGATGCGAGAGCGAAGGCGGCGAAACGGCGAGCGCGACCGCCCCGATTCGCCGCCGCATCATCGCGATCCTCGTTGCAGCGGCCGATATTGACCGTCTTTGCAATGCATGATCCAGCGTCTGGTTGGGGCGTGGTCTTGGACTCGCCTTCATGATTCGTTTGTTTTTGTTTTTAATTGTCTTTTTGGAATATTTTATTTGATATATTGAAGCAGATATGACCGAATAAACTACTGTATAGTTATTATCTCATATGCACATTCGAACACGTATAAATGAATGACGAAACCTTGCGCAATAGATGTGCCCTTACAAGTATGCTTCATCCCAAGCGAAACAGGGATGCTGCGTTGATCTGCATAACGAGACATTCGTACTTCTATTGCGACAATTATTGCCATGAAATGTTATTCAGCCATGAGTAATCAATTGCCTTGCTTATGCACAAACGAATGCAGCCACAGAATTCTCCCGCAGTAACGTCAGAGGGCGGCCTTGAAAGAGAGAGAGAGAGAGTGTTTTGACATCTCATCTTAACAGTACGGTGCACTACTGACAAGAGAGTTATCCCTTTCACTTTGTTTTTTAAAGCAAAGCGCTGTGTAGTTGATATAATCTACGGATAACAAGAGAGACGAAGCGCGTTGCCGGTTTGTAAATATTAGGGTCGTGATGGGCGATTCTGGTATCCTTTAATATGTAGGGCGGGTTTTGTTTTATAAGAAGTAGGTTCATATCGCATCAGAACTGTTGAATATTTTTATTTTGTCGTGAATCATACATGAAGCATTTTCTGTCTGCGATTATGCGGCCTGGTAACTCGGAGAGAGCACTCATGCAAAAACTGACAACGCCCGTAAAGTTTCACCCCGGCGCCGCTTAAACGAATAGGATTAACACACCGCAACAGGGCACCGCAATATAAACCTATTTCACCCTCAGCTGCCTTCAATAAAAGCCAAAAGGTCTACCATGATTCATCCCGAGACCCAAGATCCCAAGCAAACCAGCCAGTTGACCTGGCGCATTAAGCGGGTCAGGGTGCTGGCAGACAGGGGGCAGGCGAGTCCACCCACACCAAGCCTGGCCACTTCGGCTTGGTCAGCGCCGCTCACCGTTACGCGAATGCAGTCCTCTTCCTACTTCTGGTCGGATGCTGCCGGGATGCTCTTTTCCCGTCGCCTGGGGAGAGGGGGGAGGGGGAACTGACTTTTCTTGACTCTCATTGGAATGAATAGATTAGATATGTTCGTTCGTGGGTATTTTATTCTAATTGTGCAGCTGGTTAACTTCTGCTAATTTTTAGCTATTTCAGAATATATATTTTTTGCAGGTAAATTAAATAAACACTTGTGAAATCCGTGGAATTCATAATTCCAGTACGGTATGGTTTATTCTTAAAGATCGCTTCTAAGGTATCATGTAACCAGTCTTATATCCACATAAAATTCGATTGAAAAAATGTATCAAATTAAATTTTGTGACAGGACACCATGGAATAAATTTGACCCCGTCGTGTTTACATTACACCCAATTCTGGATTCTTACATGAAATAACTTCTTATTGTCAGCACAAACGTTATATTTACTTACATATATCTCCAGAAAAGGCGCACAAGTTATAACTGCAATATCTTGCTGAATTGTTGAAGCTTATATCATAGAAGTTTACATCGAAAAAATACGTACCAACAGGTCATTGTAAGCCGCTGTTCGGGTGACTCCAGACGATATCAAACGAGAGTGTTTTCCGTGAAAATGAAATTCAGAATCTCAGCAATGTATTCAATTTCAAGTAACAATTTCACACACATTACCTGCAATATGCACTTTAAAAAAATCGGGTGGTCTGTGTTTGGATCATTTGAAATTATCCCACGCAAGTCACGCAAGCGCATACGGACAAAGCGCGGCACGATTGGGTGAGTCGACCAAGTTCCAACAGTTGGCTTGTGAGCGAGTGAGGGGGAGGACGTGACGCTCCTCTTCTTTCCGAAGTCATGTGGGACTTTGGACGTAATTATCAGTGTAGTTCGGTCAACGAGAGCCATACATTCTGAAACTATTGTATGATCTTATGTTGAGTGTTTCATATAGTTTTTCTTGTGAAGTGCTCATGTTCGCGATTGTTTACATTTTGTGACGTGCACGTGTTGTGGTTGTTGTCCTTAGGAAACGGCTTTCAACATGCGGACTATTCGTGAGAGCGGCGTAGGGAGCTCAGAAGTTGTCCTGGTCAAATGTAAGTACAATTTAAGTTCAGTTAAAAGCGAATAGAAGTAACCATACGTATAGATTATTATTCATGTTTGTATTGACATTAACAGCCACAAAGGACTAAAGTATGAATGTATATGATTATGTTTATTCATTTAGTCTCATGACAGGTGAAAGGTAATTCATGGTGATGAAGGATCCTTTTGTACGAGTAGCGAAGTTTATGAGAACGAATTACGGAACTATAAAGTTTGTTGAATGCAACTGCAATACATCATTTGTCATACGTCAGGGAGACAGTCCATCAGGGAGGCATATCATCTGTCACGCGAGGGCCCATGGTACTGCATTGAGATAATAAGTAGAAACCTCTGTGCGCTCCATTATGAGTCAACCAACGTTTGCCAGCCAACAATGGCTCGCCGTCTATCATCGTTACACGGCTAAACGTCTAATATTTACACCTGCGAAAAGGCGGGTCTCCTTTGTCGTGGGCTTGTTACCTTAAAGACCACTGTCGTCGGGGACAAAGAAAATGATGCATATGATGTTCTCTGGGGATTGCTCGAGCGAGGGTTCATCCAGGGTCAAAGGCTCGTGCTTTATCTCTGTTCCCAAATGAGGAGAATGCAGGGAATGACCCGTCCACGCAGGGCTTCTCGGCTCATTTCGCATCGAGTTACTTTACATCAAGAGCTCTAGGTTGCTCTTTTCCAAGCTTTTTTGATCAAATGGTTTAAGATCATTTTTTTTGAAAAGATACTATAATAATAATACATATCCATAACTCCAAGAAAAAAGATAAAGCCGTGAAATACCTAACAGCGAATCGCACTTCAGTCTCCAACAGCAATCACGGCAGCCCATGTGAAAGGACGAGAAAGAGGGAAAGAGAGACGCGAGGGCCGGGCATGAGACCCATCACTCACGACCCTCGCAAATGCCTCGGGCCCAAGCGTGTTGCCATGAGTCATACCCGCAGACTCCATTGCCCTTGAAAGCCCAGTCTGTGTGGTCGAAGTCTCATGTTCTGATGTATAAACACGGCGGATTAACCCCAGAACCGAATGAATTACTGATGTCATATCTCCAGGGTTGGCATCAGGGCTTCAGCTCTAGTGTATTTTTTGTGCATTGAGATGAAAGTTTAATGCTTAACTGTAAAATTATCTCTTGATTTTGTGACTAATTTCATCACGTCCTAGTTTTGTTTCCTCTAAACCCTCAGCAAGAAGATTACGATATTTTAGCTGGGAGATGACCTGGATTCACAGATTTTAGCCAGACAGACAGTAAGGAATGTTCAGCTTGTACAGTTGTGTCCTTGATGTTCTTACAAGCCTGGATGATCACCCCGAAGCGAACATCTGTGAAGAATTCTGCGGCAGGTGAAGAAGAGATGGTCCGACCTTGTGTGTTTTGCGCCTGGTCGTTACGGTACTGAAGCCTCTGTCGATTGATTAAGGCAAGAAAAAGTCTAGATTTATGCTGCGACAAGGACCTCAGGGCGAAAAGTGGTTAGAAACAACAACTGTGATTCAGTGTTGTTGTCGTCCTCGCATTGCTATGTGGTGGATGTGAATACGTCGAGTTCTTTAGAATGAGTTTTTCTTTCATGACGTCTTTGCTGGTTCGTTTGCTTTCTTATTTGAATATATGTACGTTCTGAAGCTCTTATGGTTATACAGCACGTTTCATGTGATGGAGAAAAACTTGGTGCTCATTTCAAGCCAACAGTTGGTCGGTTTGTGTGTAGGAAGGAAGAGATCGCTAATGAGTCGCGGGCAAGGACGAATGATGGAATGTAGATGGAATGGGAAACTATAGTGATAATTACATGCCTCACGCTGGGTGCGTCTCGTCACCCTCTCTGTCACCGTCACAGGGGGAATGGGACGGGGGGAGGGGGCGGTGGCGGTATGTGCCAGGGCCGTCACGCTTCTGGTGGACTGGCAGGTGGAAGACTTGGTATGCGTTTTACATCGTGTTTGTTTGCGAAATCATGCCAATTCTGCCTAACGTTTGTTTATTTTGTTTCTGCTCAAACACGAATACTGGTTTGTAGACCATAACATCCATGTTTTTTAAACCAGTTTTATGTTTATCCTATAACATAGTGGTGGTTCCGGGTTGAGAACCACACCCAGTATATACACAGCACAGAAGGGTAAAGAGAGCCACATCCCCACATGTATTTCGTGTTTTTTTTATCCACCTTGTATATGGTTGTGATTACATGAGCATATGGTGCCTCACTGCCTCGCTGGCTTACAAAAGGTCTAATTTGAGGCAGGACTTCTTCTGAATGTTTAAATGGTTCTCGTAGCTTCTTTGTCGGGTTACCTGTGTGTAACCCACGTATTTTGTGAAACAAAAGATTGACCACATATTTGTCTGTCCCCTTGGGGAAGGCCATACTTAAGGAAATGCTGGTGACAAGAGAAATTTGGCAATGTAAAGGGATTTGTTGAGAAGAATGCTATAATATATAGTATCACAGTGTCTTTATATGGATAACAGTTATCAGTTATATAGAAGGCAGTTATTGCAATTAAATATGGTACTAAAACCCAAACAGGTCTATCGTCTCAGAACAAGACGAAGACATTAGAAGAATTCGCTGTCATTTGACGCCATTTCTCTCTCTGCGGGATACAATGAAATGACCAGGAGGGTCAGGTGAGTTACGAACCATCTCGGGACACAATAAATATACCCAGGACGGTCTGGTTTATTCTTCCCACGGAGAAATGTGCCCATGAAATGCTTAGAATGGCCAGTTTTGTCACAAACCAACACAGCGGGAGCTTTGCCGCAAGTGTTGCGAAAGGAAAGTTGTTAAATATGTCCATGAAACTGCTCCTTTCAGTCATCAGCCATGATTTTAGTCGGATGAGTGGTGGCGGGTTTACCTTGAAAATATTGTTACATTCATGATGTTGAACACGGAGGCCCTCACTAATTACAGGAGCTAATGTGATTGGTATCTACTTATACAGACAACAGGGGAATGTTTACACTTTAGGAGGATGTGTACTTTCAAAACAGGGATGTATGTGCTGGGCACCCTGGACGCCGACAGCGCTCCGCCTACATGCTGACGTAGGCCTACACACCTGTAGGCTTGTGCGTGAATAGCAGCCGGTGCTTTGTCTTGACGAGAAGGGGAAGGTGGTGGAATACTTAAAACTGAGCCTTAGTGCTCAGTTAATTTATCTTAATAAGACGCGCTGTAACTCGGGAATCTTGTGAATCAAGCTGTTCTTATGATTAAAGTGATCTTGACTTGTTAAAAGTGCAGTGATTATGGATTGCATCAGAAATAATTTGCCCGCCATTTTAAGTGAGGGAAATTACGGTTTCTTTGTTTCAACACGGAGGAGACATTCGAGTCTGAGCTCTGCCACAAGTTGGGCAACGCGAGGCAGTCTCGCCTTGGGATACGGATCCAGGCCTTATGGCAGTCGGCACACGGCGTTCTTCTCGAGCCATTTAAACGTATCGGCGAAGTCAAAGGTTCATTCTAAAAGTCTTGTACCGGATTCTTTTATTTTTAGGCTCGCATAAGAAATATGACAAATGGCCTAATATTTAACCGAAGCTGAAAAGTACTTGCGGAATTATGCAAATGCAAACGATGAAAAGTTGGCGTCGGGGTAATTTCGCGACTCATCAATCAGGTTGGACGAGGCATTTGCGGTCACGCGTATTGGCAGCGAAAATTAAAAGCCACAGAAGGAGGATCCCCTGAGTACCTGGAAGACCCAAAGGGACTAAAATACGAAATGGATGATGGCGTGTCACGAGATCGAGGGAAATGCTGGTGTTGTGTCTGGGTGTGAGTGGAGGCCCCTTGCTAGTGCCGGTACCAGTGGGAACGCCAGAGGGTGCAGGTGAAGGTAATGGGTTAATGAGTGGACTTGGGTGTGCGCGCGCGTGTGTATTCGCACGGACTGGACATGTAGGCCTCATGATCCACTGGGCTGCCTCATGTCACCTCTCGCGAGCATGTCTGCGTGACCACTGTGGCCTTACCTTTGTGATATTCGGAGTATATCTGTGAAGGATGGTCTAAATATCACTTTCTTCTCAGGATCATTTCAAACTAGTACGTTTGTATGTGTGTGTGTGCGCGCGTGTGTATTGTATGTGTATGTGTATATTTATATGTATATATGTATGTATATATGTGAATGTGTGTATTTGCATGTGTATGTGTATATTTGTATGTATATATTTGTATGTGTGTGTGTGTTAACCGCAAACGAGAGTGCCGGTAACCTGCTGTCGTTGGCGGTCTGTGGCAGATTGGTCGGGTGTGGTTCTACTGCCTTACTCCCATGTTTGTGTTACAGTAGTCTTTTGGTGTTGGCAGCGCTGTGGCTACGCCGAATGTCTTTGTTTTGTTCATCGAACTAGTAAGATACCGTCATTGGTCCATGGATGCTTTGATTCTGGGATAAACTGGCGCATGTAGAAGGATAAGTTTCTTTTTCATGATTGCGTTCACGTATGCGGAAACAAGACATTCTCGGTAATGATGGCGAGCATATCACGCTTTACTCTTACGGTACTCGCCATTACATTATCGCAGCGACCCTCGGCAGCGCGTTCTCTTTCCACTACCTATGATTGCGTTCCCGGGACTGAATTGTCTACAAGCACACCGGATATGATCGGATAATAAACAGAACACGATGAACACCTATGCCATGCTGCATTCCCCCATGCTTTCATAAAGGAAGGAAATTTCAAAGTATTGCATTGTCGACGTCCGCCTCCTAAGAATGCCTGGAACTTGTGTGGAGAGCGGCGGCAGACGCAGGTAAAGCCTCGAGGTATCCGGGCGGGCGAGGCGCTGCGTGACGGCAGTTGAGGGCGCCGCCGTTACCCGAGCGTGACGGCCACACTTGGGGGACATATCTGGGGAATCTGGCGGCGGCCGTGAGGCGAGGATCGTCAGACGACGGTCGAGGCGGGAAGGAGGGAGGGAGGAAGGGAGATGGAAAGGATTGAAGGTATGGA